AGACATATGGGTGGCACCATATGTGCGATACTATTCTCAAATAGTGAGCAAAATGAGTCATATTGGGGTAAGAGTGCGTTTGGTCGAAACTTCATTTGAATTATTTAACGAACTAATACTCAATCTCTGCTTTGTCAGTGAAATTCTAAATTTAAATTTCGTAAACAATAATTGTAAACGAAAAAAAAATTTGAGGCTATTGATAAGATCCGCAACTATTATCAATTTCTGCATAACTAGATGATCATTTAAAGTTACCAATTAACAACTCGTATATGATCGTTTAGATCAACAAAAAATTGGACCACTAACAAAAAAAAAGGGCTAAATGTTAAAGATACTTAAATGGGACCTAACTGGGCGTGGATGATAAAGGAAAGGGATCCTCTCCAGATCTCTTCCTCCTAATTCATTAAGTTCGGGGATCCTGACCATCAAAAAATGATCAAACGACTACAAATAAGGACTCACTTTAAATGTTATAATAACTTTAGACGTTTGATCAAATTTTAATAATTTGAATCCCAGACTTAGTAGATTAGAAAGAAATGGTCTGGAGATGATCCCTTTATGATGATAAAGTATTTGATAATTGTAGATGTTAGAACAATTTTATGGAATTAATTTGCACCTATAGATTGTCAATTTTCAATCCAATTTCCTCAATTATGGTTAATGATGGATATTTCAATGTTGAGAAAAAAGTTGTTGTATGGGAATTTAATCACTAGCGGGTTTTCTTAATTGGTGAGTGATCATAAATTATGGAAAAAAGGAAAAATTGATGAGATTTGACAAGTTGCATGCATAAAGCGTGTGTTTTTTACGTCTTACAATTTTAAGGTATGTCTGGAATTTGATTTTGTAAGGCATTTTTACAACAAATTTGTTTATGTTTGGGATTGTTTTTGTAAGATGATATCTTTTGATGTATGTTTTTTCCGTAGATGATAATCATGAGATAGTGTTGTTAGATGAAACACATGAGGGAGTAAATATGAAATTTAATCTTTGGTGAAAAATGTTAACATCTAAAGATATTCGCTTAAATAGATTAAAGACAAAGCATATAAAAGAAAAATCCAATGAGATTGGAAATCTAACTAAGACAAGTGTGAGGATAAGAGATCAGAAAGTGCTAAAGAATTGTGGCACATATAAAGTGCAAGTTCAGTGCAATCTTAACACGTCCTTGCATCATATCGATAATCGATTCTTTCGGGGTTATCGGAAAATTTTCTTTTGACGTTAAGAAAAAGGAGGAAAAAAACAGCTCGCGCTTAGCTGCACCACATTAATAATTTGGACTTTTAGCTAGCTGGGGCATATATCAGCATATCACAGTTGCAGTGTACGTCTGGAATGAAAGTACATAAACTGGGTCCTGATTTCGACCATATTTTTCAGCCCAACGAAATGACATGTGGCCCAGGAGACACCTGGCTAATCATAATAATTCGAAGATTAGATATGGGGATTGGGATCCAAAACATCCAATCCAATTGGTAATGCTTTATATCCAGAGAATTTTAACGAAAAACTACGTTTTTATCTTTTCTTGATACTATTCAGTATTCACTATACCTTTATTTGTCATTTTTCATTAAAACTAAAGTTTTTTTGGACTTTTTGTTAATTTTCTTTTTTATCTACAAATTAAAAAAAAACATGCACATCTTTTTTTATTTTTGTTTTTTTGTCAAACAATAGATTTTGTTAGAATGTTTGATTAGTCACTAACAGAATTTAAACACATACCGTCATGTAAGAGTTCAACACATTTTTACTACTGTGATAAAAAGCAACTTGATTTTCTAGATTCTTTTGAATTATTATTTTTGTGTTTGAAATGAAAGCTGTAAATCCTGATTATTTGGAAGATAAAAGCAAATGGTGCCAGACAGCCCAAGTGGAGAGTGGACAAGAAGATGGGGAACATATGTGATAAGTTTTTGAATTCTTTCTCAACATGCTTTCATCATCTTTGCGACCCTATTTGGAGACTAATTTCAGACACAATTAATTGGCCGAATTGATCAAAGTGTTGAGTGTAAACTCTTCGCCGGATCCATCGAGTGTTGAGAGTATAATACTATATTAGAGAGAAACAGATTTTATATGTGCTTATAAAAGAGTTGGTACGTGTTATATCAATATAGATGGACAACATGATTGATCATCAATAGTGTATGCACACAATTCGAACTTTGGAAGTCACAATTAAAGATCTAGTATTTAGATAGAAATAATATGATAGATGGACGACATGATTGATCATCAATGGTGTATGCACACGATTCGAACTTTGGAAGTCATAGTTAAAGATCTAGTATTTAGATAGAAACAATATGCTGAGTGTTGTCGAGATCCTGTGCCGCTTAATTTACCAAGGTATATAGATCATGCATTACTTCAAACACTTGGTGGGCTTTGCAGGCGTGCTTTTCAACCTCCAGTGGGTCCCAACCACACCTTCGTTCATATGTGGATCCACACTTACTGATGACGATTGATGTGTTATGGATCTAAGGTGTAATTTTGATAATAAACACACATGTTATCACTTGATCATTAAACAATAACATTATGTGACGATGTGACTGTCACACTGAAAAATCTATCATCCAAACTCAGCGGCGGAGCCACTTGAGGACTAGGGGAGGTTCGGGTCTACCTTGAAATTTTTTTCATTATGTAGCTTCTCTTTGTATTCTTTTGGTTGGTTATACTCTGCATTCTTCGACTTTATTATATTTCTCTAATTGACAAAAAAAAAAAGTGTTCTATAGTAGTATTGTTATGAAACCAAAGCCTTTGTTCAACTAGTCTTCCTTAGTTAGTTCACTATTTTGCATGATAGAGTGTTGTTTTATAATGAAACCACGCATATATGGAATAGAAGAAGAATTTATCTTGAATCACAATTTCTATAGCTGCAGTTTTGAACCATGAATATTAATTATTTTCCAACTTAAATGTAGAAACTTATAGCCACTTAGTACTACGGTCTAGTGATATTCCTCTTTACTTGTAAGTGAGAGATCTTAAGTTCGATTATCACCAAAAAGGCGAATTTGAATCATATTATTGCTTACCCATTGTGAGGCTTAGCTCACCCCTCCCCCTTAGTGCAAATAATATTGTTTGTTAATATATATATATATATAAATTTTTTTCCAATGTTCCAAACAAGAGAGATCTGATCGTTGTAATATATGTAATCAAATTAATTTCAGTGACTACTTGCATAAAGGTTGGCCACGCTTCAATAATATTAGAGACTATTTGATGTTGAGGTAATTATAATAAAGGTAGTTTAGCCAAAAATTAATAAAAAATTTACTATTTAGTCGTATATCAATGACATATTTTTTGTTTTAGACTTAATCAATGTTATATTTTTATTAATTAGGTATAGGTCAATGATGAATACACCATGGACTTTAAGCCATTGTAAATAGTTAGAACTTGACTCTTCTATCATTCTATGTCTCATTCTCTCTATAAATGTCATATGGGCTTTAAACTATTATAAATAGTTAGAACATGAATATTCTTTCACTATCTCTTTCGTGCCCTTTGTTAACATGGAACAATCTACTCAACTCAAGAAAACGGAACCAAAAAACAAGCAATGCACTGCAATGTTTGAATCAAAATGTAAAAAACAGAACCAGAAAACAGACATTGCATTACATTGTCTAAATCCAAAAGTAAAAAACATAACAGACACTCCATTACAGTGTCTAAAGCTTAGGAGGCGTGTGAGAGATGGAAAAAACAGAACCATGAAACAAACACTGCAACACAATGTCTAAATTTAAAAGTAAAAAACAAAACTAGGAAACGAACATTGCATTATAGTGTCTAAAAAAAAACATGGAGGAGACGTGTGAGTGATGGAAAAAATGAAAGCAGTAAATGGGGACTGTAACACATTGTCTGAATCCAATTGTAAAAAGCAGAATCAAGAAACAAACACGGTATCACAGTGTCTAATCCTTATTGACTTATTTCCAAAATATAAAAAATATGAGAAATGGGTGTAGTGGGTGCCAGCTGTAGTGGCAAATTTTGTAATTTTTATTTATTTTAAATGCATTTAAGTATCGTAATACATGATTAACCTATTTATAATTAACATAAATATTATTGATATATTGTTAATATTGTAACTTTTAATTAGTTTTATACAAAATCACCATTATACTAATAATAATCAACAACTAGTTTATAGCTTCGAATACGCATAAAGATCTTGATGACCAATTTTTCTTATTATTTTCACTTTATCTTTTGTGATTCTCCTACAGACGATTGGATTTCTGTACATGATTTAATTTCTTGGAATAAAAAAAATTGTTGTCACTTCAACACTCGATTAGAAATCAATATTAGTTAACAACATTATTTAATTGTGGTACGCTCGCAGAATCAAATATTTGACCTGTTACTCTAGTGAGGTAAACTCTAAAGTAGGAGGCATTACTTATAATTGGCTAGTCCTAAGGGAGAGCAGTCTTTTCTGCACTCAAATTCAAATTTAATTATACTGTTTTGATCGAATTTATTGTCTTGTTAAAATAAAAATTCGTCACAAGCATGTACAACTTCATGTAATTGTTTAACCACGAAAATACATTTTGCTCGTTTACTCGATGAACAATGTTAGGTCTCGGGTAAGTGTATTCGCCCATGAGCGGTAGGTCTCGGGTTCGAAACTTGGGAGCAACCTCTCCATAAAATGGGGGTAAGGCTAGCCGACATTCACCTCTCCCAGACCCTGCGTAAAGCGGGAGCCTTGTGCACTGGGTACGACGACTCGATGAACAATGTTAAGTCCATCGAAGCTAGTGATTAGGGATCTGCTGTCCCTAATTTTGTATCTCCTGCCATATCTCATTCTAATTATGTCATTTAATAACTCTTAATTTAACAGTGTCAACGATTCTTAATATTTATTTAAAAACAAAAATTGATTCATTAAAGAAAATTGAAAACCAAAACAAGAAGTCTGAAAGTCCTTTTTGTCAATAGTCTGAAAGTCTATTAACCTGAACGGCTGGATAAAGAAACAAAAAGTTGAACCCCATCAGTTCTTAATCAATTCCCAACTCCTAAGCAGGCTAAACCTTTTTTCCTTGCCAGGTTCAATTCCTTGTGGGTGCTGCACATGGACAACTCGACCGAGGACTTTCACAGAGAGCCGGCGAGCAAGATGGAGGCTGCGAAGGGCGAGACGATGCGGTGCCGTCTGTTTTAGGCTGGACGAGAAGACCTCGTTGTTGATTTGGCTATGGAGGCTCTGACGATGGTGCTGTTTGAGGATTTTGAGAGCGCACCACCGATGGGATTGGGGTTTGACGGTGAGGAAGGTGGTTCAAATCGGACTGTAAAAGTCATGAAGCCAGTGGCCAGTTTCAATCGATGATTAAAATTTTGAAGAATGGAGGTTGCAGGCGAAGAAGATGAAGTTTCAGAATAACCCGGAGAAGGTAATATGTAATAATTAGGGTTCTCCTTAATAATTAGGGTTCTCTTTACTTTCCCACTTGGAATTAGGTTTTCCTTTACGCAGAATAACCCGGAGAATGTAATATGTAATAATTAATAACCTAATACAAACCCTAAGTTAAGGAATCCTACTACTTGCAGGAAACTATTTTAGATTCCAATTCCGAGTATAATTAGGGTTTGTTTCCCAGTGGGAGCCAACGAAAACTATATATATATAGAGAGGAGTTGATCAACTTTTCTTAGAAACAAGAAAAGCCAATGGACTCGTCACTTGGAAATTTGATTTCTAAATCTCTAAAGAGACCTGGCGATTTATTTTTCCCCACCCATGGCAGCGAACTGGCCCCTCCTGACCTGCAGACTAAAAAAATTCGCATGACTTACAAGGCAAGCATGGAGTACGGTGGACTTAAACCGACGGCTGATCGACAAAACCCCGCTGCCGACCGCGATGAATCGTCCAACGCTCTTCCCCTTGATCCAAATCCTACTACTGCCCAAGGAGATCAAAACGCTGATTTGTTTTTGAGTCCATCTACACCCAACAAGGCCAAGGCGCCGATTAATATTGCTGATGGCACTTCGGTTTTTTCTGCTCCTGGTTCGTCCCGTTCCCGCGATCAGAGGTGTTCAACAACGTTGGATTTAGCCCGAAATTGGCCACGTACCGTTTGGCATAGCCCGTGGAAGATTTACAGGGTCATCAGTGGCCACCTAGGATGGGTTCGCTCTGTTGCTTTTGATCCAAGCAACAGATGGTTCTGTACAGGATCTGCAGACCGGACAATCAAAATATGGGACGTAGCAAGCGGGACGCTACAACTTTCTCTTACCGGACACATTGGGCAAATACGAAGTCTTGCCGTTAGCACCAGGCAACCCTATTTGTTCTCGGCTGGCGATGACAAACAAGTCAAATGCTGGGACCTTGAACAGAACAAGGTTATCCGTTCATATCATGGTCATCTTAGTGGCGTCTACAGCATGGCTCTCCATCCGACTCTTGATGTTTTAGTCACCGGGGGACGGGATAGCGCATGCCGTGTTTGGGATGTTCGTCTCAAGAATGTGCAAGTTCATGCATTGACTGGACACGAAGATGCAGTTTGCTCCCTTCTCACTCTCCCAACGGATCCACAAGTTATTAGCGGGTCTCACGATACAACTGTCAAGCTGTGGGACCTTAGAAAGGGAAAAACCTTTTCAACTTTAACGCATCATAAGAAATCGGTGCGGGCAATGACACATCATCCTAAGCTAGATCGGGGTAATTGCTTCGCATCGGCTTCAACAAACACCATCAAAAAGTTCAACCTTCCGAGGGGGGAGTTTTTGCACAACATGCTCTCCCAACAGAAGTCCATTATCAACGCGATGGCCGTCAATGAAGATGGAGTTATGGCTACAGGAGGCGACAACGGTAGCTTGTGGTTTTGGGATTGGAAGAGCGGCCACAACTTCCAGCAATCCCAAACAATTGTACAACCGGGCTCGCTGGAGAGTGAAGCTGGGATTTATGCTCTTTGCTACGATGTCACTGGCACAAGGCTGGTTACTTGTGAAGCTGACAAGACAATCAAGATGTGGAAACAAGACGAAAAGGCCACCCCGGAAACTCATCCTCTAAATTTTAGGCCTCCTAATCTTAGAGACGTTGGGCGGTTCTAGCTCACGGTGTGCTTACTTTGTTACTACGATATTGAAGTTTTTTATAATGTTTATTTTAATTCTGTTTCATAATGTATGCGTTATCATCATGGCTTGAATTTTATATGCTCAGTGTTCATACTGCAGTAGGAAGGAAGGCAAGAAAGTGAGTGTAAAAAGTTTTTCCTTTGCGTCCTGTTGCTGATGCAGTCTTTAGGTTTATGTTGTTGTATGAATCTCTGATTCCGGATGTTATCCAGCTTTGCTTTTATGCCAACCGACTGTTGGTAGGGTGGTTGAGGCAAAGAAGACGATACATAAGTGAGAATTTGTTGAATAAGACATTCTTCTGGCTGTTATTCTAGCTCTGATTAGCCTTTCATTTTTTTGTTTTTGATTGGTCCTGTTTCGCGGGTTTGATTTCCTCGAGCAAAGTTTGAATCTTAATATTGCAGTGAAAATATAGGATATCAAGCTGGAAAACCCATCGCGTACTCTTTGATTATTGCTCATGACATGAGGTAGCTTGGTGCCGAAACAAATTTGAACTTGCTGAATATGAACTCTAGTGTGTATTTGTGTGCGTCTGTGTGAACAGTATAAAGATCGTCGTTTTTCCCGTTTAAGATTTGAAATTCAAGTGTGCTTATTAGGCAATCTGAATTCACAGTATTCAGGTGCAGTTGTCCGGTAAAAGTCAATGTGTTGGAATGTATATTTGGAATTTCTGCAGAATCTCCCAGCAGGAATTCAAGCATCGGGGTCGTCATGTCTTCAGTAGAAAACAGGAATGCTTGATTGCCGAAATTATGTAAACTATCTTGCGGTGGACCTGTTTGTTGAAATGCTGTAGGAGTACTATAAGAAGATTACATATTCGATTCTGGCCAATGACTCGGTTCAGTTTGTGTACTTGGTCTGCAATTTGATTACCAAGGCTTTTCTTCTTCAGCGGAAGAGGAATGGTGCTGTTGCGAAGAGGAGGAAACGAGGTGGGTTTTGTATTGTTTGTGTTTATTTAGTTGTCCTCTAGGTGTTTCACGTTTTGCTCCAGTGAAACTTAATTGTTAGCAAATTGAGGTTGGTTTTAACAACTCTATCTCTCTGTGTGTTGCTTTCAAATTTGCATACTGTTTCCCATGATCCTCGCTTGAGTCTTGAGATATCCTAACATCACTGTTCCAATTTCTTGCAGTCTCTCCATTCCAAGTAGAGGCAGTGTTCCATTGCTTCTGATGAACACAACAACGACACATGAAGATGCCGCTAAGGTTTTATACTCATAGCAGCTTGTGTAATATAGGTCTTGGAGAAATATTCCAATTCAAACTTTGATATTCATCCTTTAAACAGTTTTTCATATCTAACTCGTATCTTATTGAATACGTGGTTGTTTTTCTTTTCCTTCTCCTTTTTGGGTTATTGGAAGCTGGATTAGGACTTACTTGTGAATGTATATGTTCTAATTTACACAGACCACCATCCAACACATCTATCATGCCTGTACAATCACAAATTAATTTCCCTTGACAGTAAGCATATTGTTGACCAGTTACACTACTTCTGTTCCTTCTGGTCATGGAGCATTGTTCCTTTCCCTTGTGAGAAACATGAATTTGAACCAATGTATAAAATAGTACCTGCCGAGAGGTGGTATCCGAAAGGTAAACTTGACTAAACTTCTCGAGCTTTCCTTTTCAGGGTAATGAGTATATCCTTGTGGTTGACTTAACGTGGCTATTGATGGATATTTTGTTCTTAATATGTTAAACAATTGGTAATGAACATTTCTATTCTCTTTCAGTTTTAGGCAGTCTTGTCATACATTTGCATTCAAATGCGGGGTGTTATAAGTAAATTGGTGGTGTTTGAATGAAATTTCAACTCAAATGAGGGGTGTTATTGGAGACACTGAATGCTTCCTTGTGTAAAACTGTCTTTAAATTATTTTCCAGGATAAAAGGATATTTTCCTCAATGCAGGACCAACAGGAACACCAAGCAGGATGCAATATGATTTTGATGAAGGAAGATAATAGATAGTGTTAGACATCATCCATGCGTAACAGTTTTCAGATTTGCATTTACTAACTGGTTTAAATATGAACTTGTAATATGAGCAGTAGAAAGTCCATTTTTTCTCTGCTTAGATCTGAATAGTCGAGTGTGTTATTAGGAAATCGGAAATCGGAAATCATGGTATTCTGTTTCAGCTGTCCTATACAAGTTGATGATATATTACTGGAATTTCTACTGAATCTCCCAGTGGCATGCATGCATCTCGGTTGTCATGCTTTCTTTAGGAAACAGGAAATTTTTTTGCAGAAATATATATGTCTCTCTTGGAGATCATAAACAAATACAACAAGGCACAACGGACAGTTATTTTTCATTAGTTAGATCCGGCTTTTAGTAACCTTCCAGGGCTCAAGATGCAGTCAAGAACAGAACTGCAAAATCTCTAGAAAGGGCTTACAGGACTGGCGATTATTTAACATAGAGATATGGAAAAAAAAAATCCAAAGTCCAAACACATGAAACTATTTATAACTTAAGCTTGCCGTGATCACAGTTTAAGGGTCACCAGCATGGAAACCTTTATGCTTGTAGGACAACCCACTCGTGTTCTGTGATATCGTCAAATGATACACTAGCTCATCAAAACAGAAAATGGTGCACTCACTGCAAGTGAAGATAAGATATAGTCTCGCTTCACATACCATGTATGATGCAAGCAATTTTGTTTCCGAGGGGCTGCTTTACTTAGATGGTCATCTCACTTGTTCTACGAGAGAGAGCTGTGAGTCGATGTATACATGCACTCTACTGATATGGACATTTCAAATACATGCAGCTTAACCTCTATCTCAAAATTGCAAGTCAGCTGGGAACAACTTACTAACTTGGACTCATGCGTGTCAGAGGCAAGTGAATTTTACAGGTTGTAAATTGAAAAACTCACCAATTGGTCATTCCGCGTTGAATAATGTAAGTGTTTGTTTCCTCGTTTAAAATGCATCGGCAGTTTAACTGTTGTTCCCCACAGTCGGCTTCCTCAAAACTTCAATCGGAGCTACTGTTGCAAGTGTCTCACCAAATGGTATAAAGGTACGAAGTTGGGCTGAATATGTTTTATGCGATGATTTATATAGTAATCTAATTCTAATTTTTCTATTGCATTAGCAATCAGCCCAACGATTTGATTGATTTTCTTGCTTGCCCAATCTAATGGTCAGCATAATTGCACAACATCAATGCATATAGATTCAGAGTGCTCAACTCCCATCCTATCATCTTAACCATTTGAGTGATTACAATAGATTTCTTGAAAATAATATTAAGGTTACTCCCTTTTATAAATGTCTAGAGAAAAACTTCGATAGGCTGCATTTCAAGTGCGTGTGTTTCATGGTGAAAATTTTAATTTTTTTTAATGGGGGTAAGGCTAGCCGACATTCACCTCTCCCAGACCCTGCGTAAAGCGGGAGCCTTGTGCACTGGGTACGACCTTTTAGTATTATTATTATTATTTTTAAACTCAGTTTCTAGTCTATGATGTAAGAGAGAAATTAAAAAATTGAAAATTGAAGCCTACGGGGTTTATATATTATGGACTTCCAGTTGTCTGGTTTTCCTTGGAGTCAACGAGGTTAAGTTTGAATTTGATGACCATTGTTGCCAAATTTCAACGAGGTTAGTACCAAATTCATTAGGGAAACTCAACCTTACCAAATTTTGTAAGAAAATCAAACAAGTAGTCAATAAAAGACGGCTCATTCAGTTGAGACGTCAAGTAGAATTTACATGCCAATAAGCTTCATCCTCGAATAGAACTTACATGCAATTGAAACGTCAGAGTAATGATATTACAGACTAATCATGCAATGTTCTACAAACTGATTAAAACACATGACAATACATGATAGGGGTGTACTATCCACATACCTCATTTTACTTCTCACACACCCTTTGATAATTTATGTCTGTTGATCTTTTTCAATTCATCCGATCCGACGGCCGAAAATTAAAAAGATGTGTGAGAAATAAAATGGGATGTGTGGATATCATACCCATACATATGATGAATCTGTGATATTACCATGTTAAAATCTGGATTGTTGTTAAGTTTCACTCGTCTTAACTCCGAAAGTATTAGTAAAAAGATTTTATTGAATGCTCCGCAATACCGAATACTCAGGAAGTTTTAATAGGACATGAAGTGTGAAGATTGTTGGATCGGTGTTTGTAATATGACATACAGAAAGTAAAACCTAGATGCATCATAAGTTGGCGTGCAGATTTACCTGGACGGCACATGAGTCAACTACTTAACTACTTCCCAGATGACATTTAAGGGTCCGTCCCCTAACTCGAGGAATGCCCATCACAAGGAGAGATCTGTCAATATACGGGATGGTACATCACGTGTCATTAAACAAATAGTGAGATATGTGTGCTAAAAAGTTAATACTTTAAAAAATAAAATTTCTCACAATTCTTATTAAAACATGTGGTGTACTGCTTGTGTTTCCGTCACAACTAAAAATTTCTCCATCACAAGCAAGAAGTAAACATTGGTCAACTTTGGTTTTGCCATATGAATATGGTACGTCACTCCCTTTGAACTTTCACTTGTTTTCTTTTCTCTTTGGTTGTAGAGATATTTCTCTTTTCTCTTTTCTTTTTCTTTGGTCGTGGAGATTTCGATACATTAAGTACCCGTGCATAAATCATGTGTCCAAGTCGTAACAGACTGATATCGATTCTTGTTTCAACAGTCTGTTATGGTGACATTAGAAAAAAATTGATTTTGTTTCTAGGTTGTACCAGCATTTTAAAAGAATCACTTACCATATATTTCTTTATAAAGCAATTTTAATAAAAAAACACTTTTAACGAAAGTGCTTATGAGCATGTGTGCATTTTACACATGCATAATGCATACGTTTTTACTTTTCTTAACAAAGAAGATAAAAATATTAGAAGTTGGGGGTTCAAATTTGAGCTAACATTTTACAAGTTACCTTGAATATGAGTTTGAAATGTCATAACACAAGTTATCAATTATAAATCATAGAATATAAAAAGTATCGTACATCTATATTATAATTCGTAAATTATCGTATAATATTTTTATTGAGGTTGGTATTGAATTTCAAATCCTAAAAGGACTAAAAAAGAAGTTAATCCCAAGAGTAAAGTAGCTGGAAACAAAGGAAGGTTTGAGGCTTTATGCAGCTTTGTGCCGATGGCAGAGCCACCTAAATCCTTGGAGTAACGAGCACTCCAATATTATTTCCAAACAAACATGGACTTTGATTCCCGATTAGGAGAATAAAGTAAACACCAATTAAAGCTCTTTTACTCCTTAATTGCATTAATTAGTTGCTTCACCCTCTAAGAGTATTGCTAAACAAGTCATATAGTTTGTTTGGTAGAACAATCATTAAATAAACAAATGAGGAATCATGAATTAACAATGGCACACTCTACTAAATCATAGACCATACATGAGGTTACTCAAAGATTCAAAAAGGTTATATTTTTTAGTATGCTTGGAATACGAAGTGATACACTATGTCACCATACGAGTGGAGAGACACTTGAAAATTAAAAATTATCTTCACTTATATAATAACATAGGACATGGATCCTTTCCGGATCCATTGGTCCTAATCCACCAACTCACATTATCTGGGTCATTGAAATTTAATCTAACGGTTGCAAACAGGATCCTATTTTAAAAGTTATAATAATTTTATTCGTTGGATCAAATTTCAATGGACCAGATGATGTGACTTGGTGGATTAGAACCAATGGATCCGAAGAAGATCCATGTCCAATAACATAGATCAAGTTACTCAAAGATTAAAAAAAATGGTGAGATTTTTTAATGTGTTCGGAACACAGAATAATACATTATATGTCGTTATATAAATGGAAAGACAATTGAAAATTAAAATTAATCTCTATTTATAATAACATGTCGTGTATCACTCTGTATTCCGAACACACTAAAATAAATTTCCATTTGAAGGACGTGCAATGCAATCCCAATCACAATTCCAATCTCAATCCCTACCACCAATGGCAAAGGTGGTGTTGACGTTTGGGTGTCGCTATCGGGGACATGCACGAACGTTTCCTCATGGAATTTAGTGTTCGTGTCGACGTTTGTATTCATCAATTCATTGTTTGCTGCTTATTATTGGTTTACTGACTTCACACCTGCAACGTGGGGCCTTGCCAAGTCACCTACGCAACAACATATATGGCTGTACACGAGTCCTGCTTCCAACAGTTTGTATTTGTATTTGTATTCGGTTTTTGTATAAAATTTATTTAAAAAAATATTAAGATTAGTTTAAAGTTTTAGTATAATTATTCTTTTCTTTGTATAAAATGTGAAATTACAACCACAAAAAAAAAAAAAAAAACCCTTCAGATAAGCATAATACAAATATTTCTAACAACAAG